AGTATATGCAATTCAGAAAGAGTGTGTGTATCTCAAGGGTTTGGATGGCCTGATCTGTTAAAGCCTTCTTACATGCAATTTTAACAAAATTTTTTTGTTTATTATATATGTTGTTTTATATAAGCAATAAGGGAAGTATAAGCTCTTTCTGTCTCTTAATTATAATCTTTTTACAAGTTAGAGACTGTCACAATTCATGAGGTCTTTATAACAATGGTGATCCTGTTCTACATAGAAAACATTTTTTTCTGGGAAAATAGAGATAAGTCAAGTAGCTGTAAAGACAGCAAGGCAGTCCTTAACTTGTAAATCATAAATTTGAACTAAATTTTTTAATCTGAAAACAGGAATGATTTACAAAATGGCAAGGAAGAATAAAAAATCCTACTAACCAGAAGTCTAGACTAAAGATTTGTAGGAAGCTTCATAAGCAAATCTTTACCCTTTGAAAATTTATATAAATCTTTCAGGTTACCAAAGCAAAGACCATGTGTCATATGTGTTCTTTTTTAAAGGGTCTTGTGAAAATATTCTCATTTATGTCAACATTATTTTGATCTGCATTTCATTTACAAATTGTTGTGTCCAACAGTGCTTAATTTTTCTTCAGGTTATTTTCAGGTTTTCCTTAACAATGATCAGATTCTCTGAGGGACTTGTAAGAGTTAGATACATGGTGGTTGCTCTTCAGCTGTTTGGTTTACCAAACAAATTTTGCAGATCTTTACAGCAGAAACCTTGATAGGCTTGTTCTAAGCTCTGCCAAGTAAAATGTGCAGTATAGGTTAAATTGTGAAAGAGCAGAAGAGAAATTGTTAAATTGTGAAAGTTGTCTGAAGAACCTCCTTCCTCAACCCTGCTCTTCCATTTAAAAGCCAAGGGGAGGGAGAGTGGTAGGGTCATGACAATTTACCCTGCAGGCTTGGTTGTTGCTGGCCTCTGAAAATGAGTGTCAGGCCCCTGATGGGACTGCCAGCATTAATGGGATGGTTTATATAAAAGTGAAAAGCCAGTTTCCTCTGGAAACACCTGTGTCTGTTGTCTGCCTGCCAGACACTTCAAGCCTTTCAACTGCTGTCCCACTCAGACAAGACTGACAGAAAACCAAAACCCTGAAAAGAAGAAAATAAAGGAGAGGCTACACATGTCCTGTCTGGCAAGGCACCACGAGCTCTGGCCAGTGGAGGAGGCATAATGGAGCTGATGTGGTCTCAGGGTGGGCTTGGTGTGTTAAAAGGTTGCACAAGGGGCTACAAATGCAAACACAGTAAATCCAGCTGCTGCTTTGGTAGGGGAAATGGACAGACTGGAGAATGAAAAGTAGGTTTGGGGTACTTGAACTGCCATGTGAAATGTTTCCCTTCACTCAAGCAAGATGCCTTTGAGCAGATTTTTTTGTGTCTGCAAGGTCTTACAACTGTTCCAGGCTGCCTATCACCCTGACAAACACTGCCAGGCAAATGTCTTGAAAGCTTTTCTGTCCAGAAGGCTGCACTGCACTCTGGCAAACCTAATTAAATACTCCTGGGTTGACCAAGTCACCATGTTTGTGGTGCCACTGGCCTTTAAGCTTTCTGGTGTTTAAAAATGTAGAATTGCATAATGTTTGGGGGAACTGCAGAGAACAGTTGAAATGGCCTGCTCACAAGGTGGATGAAGTGAGCTGTAGAATGAAAAAAAAGAAGCTGTAGGGGCTGTAGAATGAAAAAAAAAAAATTAGGCAACAAACTAAGTTTGCGCCCTGCATCCATCTTGTTGTAGCTTTTATGTAGACACAGCTACAAAAGAGAAGCTATTTACAGATGAAATCAGTAGCTCCTGGAAAGGTTATGCATTACTTACAATTTTTTTACCTTAAAAAGGGAAAGTTTCTGATCCCATTTACCTGACAGAAACTGGCATTCTTTCAGTGCTTCCAGGGAGAAATATGACTGATGTCACATCATGGCTGCTTGCAGTGTCTAGTACCCTTCTGACTTTTTGGTCACCTCCACTGATATCACCTTGGGGTTTTTTTTTTCCTAAATCTGTTTTGATTGTCATGGTCTTGATGGTTGTTTTGTTTGACTTTTATTTAACTGGTTGAATTGTTCACTTGCATTTCTTGTATAATTCCAGGTTTTTGAGAAATTATTGCCACAGGCATCCAGCATGGACCAGAGTTCTGTGTTCAGGTGGCCCCACTGAAGGCAAATTTTGTGTATATATGTCACTTCAGTGTTGCAGACCATGGCATAAGGAATTGCTGAGCTTTGTCTCTGCCTGGAGGTTTAAGCTGTCCTGCAGTCAGGAGTTTGTTCTGCTGAGCTGTTGAGCTGTTGCTTTCTTTCTGTACATCCAGACATAAAGTGACTGTCTAGGTGCTGAATGTCTTTGGAAATACAACAAAGTGCACATGCTTCCTTGTGCAAGCAGCCTTTTGTTCCTTTGTGTTAACAGACAGCATATTTTTCCGTGCAAAACAGCATCTTTTCAGAATGTAAAATGAGGAGCCTGGCTCTGGAGTTGGTGAAGCTGTCAACCGGCTCACCAGGGATGCCACAGGCATAGGTGCAGGTTGGGTTGGATGTAAACACTGTGAGGGAAAAACACACACTGAAATTTCACTGTCCTCTTTGCCTTACAGTTTGATCATAAATTTATATTTATGAATTCATACAAGGGCTTCATGTTCAAGATAAGTGCCAGGAATGAAACACTTACCCAAAGCTGGGAGAACATGAAAAATAAGATACTTACTTCTATATTTTAATAGCTACCTGAAATGTCATTCATTTAAAAGAGAAATACCAAGCATTTATACGTGGCCTCACTAAAACTGGGTTAAAAGTCTCTTCTATTCTGACAGATGTGCTCCCAAAAAAGCAAAACCCAACCCACCAACCGACCCCTCTGCTGTTCACTGTGCTTTGATCCTGTAATCTAAAACTGAATTAAATAACTCCTTGTATCAGGCAATACTCAGATCACCTAATAGGAGCTGAAAAGTTTGTGTTTGGTCAGAAAGACTGTATTTGGTATCAACTATTAGTTTGAGAAGTAAGTAGGAAGATCAGATCAGCATCTTAATGCAGTGTCTTGTCCGAAAAGGTTTTGTTTTTCTTTTAGAATACTTTTGTAAGAGAGACTTTTGTTAAGACAAGAATATTCTGGCAAGGAAAGAAACATCCAGAAATAATCTCTTCATTTCATAACATTTCTCTGGTCTCTGCAGGTCTAAAGTTACTGGGGAAAGTTGAGAGTTGCTGGGGGTGTTAAATATTATCAACTCTTTTGAACTGTCATAAAAGTATATTTTAATGGAGATGTACTGCAAGTTACTCTTAAGTATTTTAAATCGACTTTTAGCTAGAAACATAGATATTTTAAGCTGGTTTTGAAAAGCCTTGACTGGAAAAAACCCTACACCCCAAAGTGCCATCCTCAGGCTAGTTGAAACTTATTTTAAAATTGTTCTCAAAGAATTAGTGTTCAGGCTGGGGCCAGAACTGCAGGCGAATACCAAGTATCATCCTTTTTAGAGGTTTGGAACCTATAAGAGAGGCTTTTGATCCACTGCAGTAAGAAGAGAGTATTTCTCAAGTAAAAGGCAAGGTGTCATTTTGTTGCTGCACCTGAATAGCTTGGTGTTTTACACACACTGTACTTTTTAAATGCTTCCTTTTTGAAAACAGTTCTGATGATTTAAACCTTTCTGCAAGTCAGGAATTTTAAAAAAAACAGAGAGGTAATAAGGAATACAGTAACTGCTGTATCATGGTATGGTCTTTGATGGAAAATAGTGAAAAGGCTCATTTTGCCAATTATAAATAGACTTTTCAGCTGGGAGGTAGGTTTTTTATACAGTAATAATATTGGTAATAAGATACTTTTTCATTCAGGAAAAGCTGTGTTATGGCAGTTCCAACAGGTCAATTTAGCTGAAACTCTTGGTAGAAAGAGAGATTAATACTGTAAATTGTACGCTCTTAATACTGTAAACTGTGTTTTTTTTCTGTGAGAAAGGAGCTTTGTGCCTGAGTTGCAGTGAGGACTTTGCTAGGAGCTCTTATGCTGATGTGTGCAGTGCCTTCCCTGATTTTCAGTGTAAATGCTCATAAAATGTATTCATTCATGTGACAGCAGGCTGAATAAATCTTGGAAGGCACATTAGGTAGGTTTAGAAATTTTCATTGGGCTGGTGAAAGAGAAAGAATCCCTAAATCTTCTCATGTCCAGAGTGTGGACTTTGTCCTTGAGTCTCCTTCAATCTTTCCCTGGGGTGCTTCTGCCTTGTTTTTGCTGTCACTCTCCAGGCCAGGCCATCCTGATAAGAAGAAATGAGGGTGGAGATGGCTGGGTGTTGGGGTGACAGCTCTATAAATTTGCTGCTTTCAGACCTGCTGAAGAAATTGATTGTTTAATGCTCAGAAGCTGCTCAGTGGACAGCCATCAGGGGCTGCGTAGGCAGGGTAGAAATAAAGCTCAGAAGTTGGGGAAAACAATTACTAAATATGGCAAAGAGTTTATCAATCACTTTGATAGAAGGTATTTGTCAGCCTGTTGTCACCAACAGCGTGGGGGTTTGGCTACATTCCCAACTGCTGTTAGAGGATCAAATACCAGCAAGTGTCCAAAACAACTTCTTAACACCTTCCCTGGAAAATGAGGTTCTGACAGCACATGTACCTGGCTGCTGTGGTGGGGCTTTTGTCACCTGGGAATTGATTTGTCACCGTGTCATTTATATCCATTCAGGAGCAGCCTAGTCCAGAAAGAATAACTGGAGTTCAGCAGGCAGGTTTTGCTATTAAAGCAAGGCTTTTAAGGTCTGTTAATATTTTCTGTGTATGCATGAGGTAAAAGTGAATTTTGTACATTTGTGTGGACTGAATAACCTGAGGGGAATTTCATCTTTAAAATGGAATCACAGGGTGTTCATACCCAAACAGAAGGACTCAAGTGCTTCTGTATTCAGTATCTGCATTCAGAATATTTCTGACTCAGTATCTCCTTCACAGTGCACTCACATTGTGTGGAGACTTTTCAATGAGCATAAGGCAGCAAGTAAAAAAGAGGTGAGAACACAAGTAAAGGAAACCTCCTGACTTGCCCATCAGCAGGATCACAGAGCAGAGCATGGTGAGTCTTGTCTCTCCCATTCAGAGGCTATTCCAGAGCTCAGCACTCCAGCCTGGCAGCCTTATCCTTCACTGACTGAATGTATAGATGCCTCTCTTGTTCTTGTCTTGGTACTGCCTTTTCCATTCCCGGGTGTTTATCTTCCTCCATTTGTAGGGAGTGACCACCTCTTTGCTCTATTTCATTTTGAGAAGCCAAATTCACTCTGTTTCTGCAATATATTGTCATTTTTTCCACTTTTGTACTGTGGCTACTGTCAGGACATAAATACCACGAGCAGGCTATTTGAAATTATTTTTTTTCAATAATGATAGTGAAATCTTCTCTGCACTCCAATTTCATTTATGAGATTGCATTCTTTTTATAGGAACTGTGACCCAAGAAAACTGGAGAAAGAACATACAATGAAATTAGCATAAGGCAATATTTAGCTCCTGATATATGCTGGAAACCAGCACTTCCAGTTTTGAGGACATGGGAGTAGAAGGAAGCTGAATTCTTGGATACATATGGTAGTTACTGAAATGTGTTTGAGTAAAAGCTTGTTTTATTTATCTTTTGAATCTCTCAAATCAATCTTCTTATCTCAATCTTCTGAATCACTCCTGTTGGGGTGTACTGAAGTGTGCTTTGGGTTTGCTCTTCATGGAGCTGCAACCAAGGAAAGGGGGCCTGAGGCAGGTCTGGTCCCCACAGATGGATGAGGAAGATATTCTGGTTTGAAATACAACAGCTGATCTGTTGAGAATCAAATCAAGCATTAATAATGAAAGTCAAAACTAAAAACCCCCCCCAAAAAAAAACCACCAAAAAAATCCCCAAAACATAAAAGCAAGTAGGAAGCAGAATTTATTCTCTTAATTGTTGTAGAAGTGGGGTTTGTTAGGAAGAAGGGGCAGTGTCTGTGGTGAGCAGTGTAACTCTCTCTGGGGATAGTTCTGCAGTGGCTGAGGCACAGTAAGGTGCACTCCTTTCAGTCCTAACACTGTCCTAAGATTAAGAACGGCCAAACTGATCAAAGGTAAAGCTAGACATGATTCTTTGTTTATGCTTTATGAAAAAAACCGTAGGTTCTTATTTCTAAAATAATCATATAAGGATTATTGCACTGAGTGATGGAAAAATATCCTTCAGCATTTAAGCACCTTCCCCACAATTAATGTTTTCTTCTTTGACTGGATTCAGTCTCTCTTCTGCATAACCTCTGGCTGAAAGATATTATGTGGCTGTTGGGAGCATCCTATTGTATTTTTCAGTATCATCACAACCCACAAATGTATTATGAAAAGCTTGGTAGTCATAATAGAGTATTATTTATCTCTCAATTATTCAGTACTTGAAACTTCAGCTCTGGTGCAGGAGAGCGCTATCAGTACATTGGAAAAGAACTTCAAGCTATGCGAATAAAAATAATTAAATGATTTCTACTTAGTGTAAATTGTCTCTTAATTTATTAGTGAGGGCTCAGTGTGTGACCCATATTTTAAGTATTGATAAAACATGGAAAATTTTGGCATTCACATTCTCTGAAAAAATTCTTTCACCCAGGATTTTTCTCCTGGAAAGCTGAGAAGCCACAGGGAAAAGGAAAACAATTATTTTCTCATTTGCTTCTCCTCTATTGTGCTCATGTGGAATGTGTTTGGAGATTGTTTACCCACAGGTGATTGTTCCATTGGGTTCTGGTGTGAGTTGTTTTGACTCTTTGGCTGCACAGTGCCAAGCTGTGTCAGGATTCTGGAAAGAGTCATGAGTTTTCAATTATTTTTTTTTAGCATTCTGTAAGTATCCTTTCTGTATTCTTTAGTATAGTATAGTTTAGTATTCTTTAATATCATATAGTATCATAAAGTAATAAATTCACTTTCCGAGAACATGGAGTCAGATTCATCACTCCTCCCTGCCAAGGGGTTCCCTGCAAATACAATAGAAAATACTTGTGGTGGGGAGGAAAATTCACCTGGCAATGGGCAGACTGTAAGAAATGCTCACTGAAGCACTTTGTGTGATGGATGGGATGAACATCATAGGAGGTACGGGATGACCCTATCATGCAGCACGTGGCTGCATCACCCAGGCTTCACTTCTTACATCAAGAATTGCCAGGGCAGAGACACAAATGCAGCTCCTCAGGGCTCTGGTAAGGACCTTACACAGAAGGACCTTGCTGTTTGCATGCAGTCAGTTGAGAAGACAATTAGTTTGTCCAAATGAAAATGCCATTGTGGGATTGTTTTTTTCACAATCTGTCACCTCTGTCTAATTGCTCACATGAGAAAAAGAAGTCAAAATTTCATTGACATGAACAAAAATTGGTTTAAAGCATTTTGGAAAATAAAAAAACTAAGATTTTTTTTTCCCTGCTCCTTAATCTTCTCCATTCTCATCCATTCCTCCTGAGACAAGGAAACACATGAGGATGTCAGAATCCATATACAAAAATATCTACATTAATTTGCCCTGTGCTCTTTGGGGTGCAGGGAATTTTATATGCTGTAGGAGGGAATTTTGTGTGGTCACCTTAATTTTCATCACCATCTCCTGTTGGAAGAAGATGGGGAGCAAAGTAGTGAAAGAGTAAAGGCTGTACCTTCTCAGTTCTGAGGGATCCAGTGCTATTTCTTCACTGCATTTCCACTTCATTATTTGTCACTGCATTTCTTTCATTTAAGAAGGTAATGTGTAGAGAAATAAAGCATCCAAAGAGTTGCAGAAAATGGAATGGCAGAAAAAAACTTTGAATACATTAATCTAGTATGTATTTTAGTTTTTCAGAGAACTAGTGTTAAAATCTTCACCTATACAGGCATCATTACCTTCCCTTCAACGGCACTAGGTTGCTCACAGATTTAATAAAATCTTACTCTGTAACAGACTATTGTGCTCAGGATGAAGGGATTTGTGCATGTGGTTTTGGACATGGTTGCATGAAGGTGGTTTTGGTTGTTTTACTTTGTACTTTAAGACAAAGTAGGAATTGGACAAGTTCCTACTGATATATGTTGCCTCTCTCTGTTAAAGAGGCTCAGGCATTGTTGAAAAAAGAATGAACAGTCTCTTATTAAGTTGCTGCAAATGGCAACAGGTCAAAGTGAGTACAACTGTGTTAAATGATGTTAAAGCAAATGGTATGTGCTCAAACTCTATTGCCTCTACTTTTTAATTAGCAACTTTGAGACTTATGCCAGGATGTTTTGATGTGTGTTGTGTCTGATCTAGGAGAGGATGAAAATCAATATTCATTTGCCAATAATTTCAACTAATTAACAGGCAATAAATCTCATTTTAAAATGAATATGAAAATATACACATATTTCTAAAAATCTTGTCTCCACAATTTCTTGAAATTGTGGAGAAATTCTTCCACAATTTCATATCTGATATAGTGTTGCCTAAATTTGGCTTCCTGAAGTGTAACTGTACCAACTGGAATGCTTATAATGCCAGTCTCTACAGGGATTATTTGTTGTGGAAATTAATCCTGTAAAGGATGAGTAAATAACCTTGTTATGCCATCAAAGCCTCCAGGCAGGTTTATTTTCCCAAATGGTGATACGGTATTTTTTTGGCAGAATGTACTGTAAACATACTTACATCCTTGAGGAACTCTTGAGATGCACTTCAGAAATGGTTTGCAGAAACTAGCTGGTCTTTCTTCAGAACTTCATCCAAGGGGTCAAATTTGCTACTCCAGGGTGCTTTGTAAGAAATTTTATGAGCTAATCAATAAATAATATTTGTAAAACATTTTGGAAGGCATATACTGACTGAAGTTTGAAAGGCATGAACCGACTGTGGTAAAAATCCAACATGAGAAAAACATACATTTAGTGTTTTCTTGCACACTGGTGTCAATTTTTCATTGCTTTGCCTGTATCTCAGTAGCTGTAGTAAAACAAGTGTGTGTGTGACCACATGGAATTCTTTCCTTGTGCTCTTCCTGGACACTTGCCTCCTTCCCATGAGCACATCCCAAAAGGTTGGCAGAGGGTTCAATCTCTCAGGCTGTGTAAATACTTTAATTAGTTATGGACTTTGCAGGAAAGCCTACAGAGGCCAATTGTCTTTTCAGTGAGAGACAGCCCTGCCTGCTCATCTGTTTTATTGGCCTGTGAATCCAGCCTCTTGCCAAAACTGTTATTGCTGGATAAATTAATGAGAGCATGTTGTTGCCTCAGCTTCTCAAAACTCCATAATTGCAAATGTTAGGCACTTATTGAAACAACACTTAAAAAAATTTGTTGCCGTCTCTTGATCTTTGTCATGCCAGTGCCATTCAGAACAATTTATGAAAATGCCAGGCTTAACTTTGAGCAGCTTTTGTCTTGCTGAAAGAATTACCCTAGGGTTTTGGGGTTTTTTTAAATACAAGGAAATTGCCTTTTATTTTTCCTCCACTATGCAAGCTAACAGGTTAATAGAGGCATAGCTGAAGTCCTTGGTAAACACTGGAAGTACCTCTGATTTGTAGATATTTTTTCTTGGTGAATGAATGAAATTTTGTATTTCACAGCACATTTATTGCTTTCTCATCACGTCTTTACAGTTGTGTCCAACCCAGCTGGCTTCTAGCTTTGGTGCCACCTTTGTGACACTAATCAGGACAGTTTAAATTTATGCTTTGTAGAAAAAAAAAACCTTCAGTCCAAGCTTCTCCTCTCTACTCTGGCTTTGTGGAGGTTATTCATGCACTTGCAAATAGCCAGGCAGTCATTGAAGTCACAGGTCAAATATTTCCAAATTTAAGTAAGGATTTCAAAGTGGTTTTTATAGCAGCAGGCAGTTGATTGTCAATGTTGACAATAAGAATGGAACTGCTTCATGGTTTTCACTCTGTATCCTTTGGAGAAATCAATACTGAAGTCACTTTGCTTTCAAGAAAAGAGCAGGTCAGAATACAAACTGAGGCAAGAGCCTGACCCAATTCAGAGTGAGATCACTAGGTATTCAACTATTTGGCTCAACTGTAGGTAAGAAATATGTCAGGAAAGAAAG